CTTGTTCGTGGGGCTGAGAATTGAATGTCGTAGGATAATAACCTTACAATTATTATTCAATTCAGTCCTTGCAGCTCAGGACCGAGAAGGCCGAGGACGACGACCCGGGCGTCAAAGACTGCAAAGCCGAGTCAGGCGCGAGATTTTGTTCAATCAATGTCGACGTGCTTCTGAATTTATGGCAGGAGACGAGTCCGCGGAGGAGATCGGGGAGGACACGCCGGAGGGAGACTGCAACCTCCTCGTGGAGTTCTGCCACAAGCTGAAGCTGAAGTTCATGGAGCACGATCGGCACCTAAAGGTTCTGGTCTGGGCCATGTATTGAAGCACATGTCTTTTTCGGTTCCTTTCTGTCAATTGACAGGTGAAGCAGACGATGATCAGCTTTGCCAACGACACGGTGTATGGCTCTCGACAGGGCTTTCACGAGGCCCTGTTGATTGTCCCCGCGAACAAAGGCAACGCCTTCCTGACCTCCAAGTTCTGGAAGACAGGTGTCATTGCAGATGTCAGCATGCTGGCCAGACCCGACTTCGTGAAGTTGGACACCAGGGTCAAGAAGGACGAGGCCTTCGGCGCCGGCTCGGTTCGACTCACACGGGTCCAGGAGATGAAGCAGGCTGTGTTTAGATGGCACATTCCCAGTAGCACTGTGATCAATGTCGTGTAAAAGCAAGATGAATCTCACACCGTGACAGCCCCTGCAGCACCTCGGCGGCCACTCCGTGGTGAGCAGTGTCCTGGATGGATTGCTCAGCAATGTGCCCAAGGACACTGCCACGATCCTGCTGGATTTCAGTGGCTCTGACGCATGGCCGGCCAGCCAGATTCTCCGTCGGCTGACGAAAAGCCCCTGGCTCGCAACAGAGAGTTTTCAAGCAGGTCGGACAGCTAGCAAACAGCAGTCATTCTACAGTCCAGACCCAAAATCACTAAAAGAAGCACGAACTTCGGAGACCGAGGCGACAAGTACGCCGTTGCTACTGTCTGCCACTCGGCCATGGAGGAGAAGCACTGCAAGACCAGTCTCGGGCACTATGCCTTCTCCCTTGCCCGGCAAGGCAAGCTGAAGCTGACCGGCTTCCCGGACTTCGACAAGGCGACAGGTCAGCTCCGAGAGACGGCAACGGCAGCCACGGTGCCTAGTTACGCAGTCACCGTCGCAGTTGGCCGATCGCTGGTTGTGAAGGAGGCGCTGAAGCAGCATTGGCTGGCACAGTCCGACTTCGCAGGCCAAGCCCGAGATTTGTTCGAGGCCTTCGACAAGGAGTTCAACCCGGAGAACTTGAAGAGAGGCGGTCAGACCTCGAGTGAGGAAAGCGCGGCGAAGAAGCCTCGTCTGAACTTGGATCTCGAGAAAGCCGGCTTCTTGGAAGCAGCTGACGTGAAATAATAAATGAGGTCTTGCTTTTAAGTACAGATTCAGGCTCGGTGGAGGAGCTCCCAGGCGAGGATGCGACCGCTTTGAAGTGCGGGGCTTTTACCTTGACCTGGACGACGGATGAGGGCAAGATGTTCATCCACGCGGATGAGCAATGCACGGTCAAGGCTGGCACAGAGCTCTTTGGCTTTGGGAATGGCGAGTTTGCCACCGACACTACGGCCACAGACGTGATGTCGGACCAGATGGGGAAGTGGATCGCCTTCGACCTCGCTGGCACCGATGTGTTTTTGGTGCTTGAGCCCGACACGAAGCTGCCCGACCATCTGAAGGACCTTCCGGTCTTGGGCAAGGCCGCTCGGTTAAACATAATTTCTCTTTGTGCAGATTTCTTCCGGCTGCCTTGCAGCAAGGTTACAGATCTGCAGGCCATCCTGCGTGCTTTGGAGGATGCTGGCGAGGTGGAGGTCAACGTCGCCGGTCACAGCAAGGATGATGGCTTCGTGCTGAAGCCTACTTCCAAAGTCGTGTTCGTCCTGGAGGACAAGGCAAAGAAGTCCAAGAAGAAGAAGAAGGCACGCGGGCCGAAAAAATAGTATAATCTCGGAAACTGCAGTTGCCAACAATTGATTTATCTTTAAGCTTCATGTCATGTCAATGTGTCAGGGCCCGAATGCTGTGTCCTGGGGCAGTTTGCTGACAATGCCCAAGATCCGTGGTCAGCGCAACATCGCGATTGGATGGAGGATGAGGCTTTATTTTGTTTGCTTTTCTTCCCGTGCCTTCTTGCAGACTCGTCAAGTGAAACCTGGCCCCTGAAGGTTGAGCATGGAGGAAGGATCTTCCGAGAGAGTTCTATGCCCTGTCCGACCCATAGCGGTCCTGAGCGGGGATGTGACCTTGCAGTCTGGCAAGGCGATGCTGCTGATGTAGTTTCGCTGCCAAACGCCGGGCACAGCGTTTATTCCAGAGTCGTTACGATCAGCTGGCTTGGCGAGGCACATGGATTTTGACAATAAGAGCTCACCCCACTGCCTAGACTCTAGCATAATATCGGGGCCAGGGCCACCCAACGCCTGCCAAGCCTTCTGATTCACATTGTCGTGCCAGGTACTCTTGGGCTGAAAAGAAAACCTTCTTTGCACCATGACAATAATCAACACCGCCTGCTTGTTGCATGCACGAAAAGAGGCAGCTTGGGCATGTGGCCTTTCAGCTTCAGGTCTTAAAGGGTCGGGGCGGTTGGGCAAACATGTCCAGCGCCAGCAGCGACTCCGACGAGTCCTCTTCCCCGGCGCCGGGCAACGTGCCGACCTTCGATGCGCAGTCCTACCTGAAGGGTTCCGTGGACAAGAAGAATGCAAACGAAAGTGCTCCGGCCTCTTCCTCTGCTGCAAACCCAGCTGCTCTCTTCAAGAAGTTCGTCCAGGCAAGCAGCACTGACAGTGACAAGAAGAAAAGTTCCAGCGAGAGCGAAAAGAAAGCCAAGAAGAAGGACAAGAAGGACAAATCGGCAAAGGATAAAAAGGACAAGAAGAGCAAGAAGGACAAACCAAAAAAGTCGAAAGACAAAGCAGAAAAAGCGGCAGATGACGTGAACAAAGTTCTGGGTCGGAAGAAGGGCGACGACACCACGGATGACGAGGGCAGCCCTTCCGACTCATGCGAGACCAAGAAAAGACCCAAGAGGAAGGCAAAGGCGAAGGCCAAGAGCAGAACGACCCAGGTGGATAAAGGCAGCAAGAAGAATCAGAAGAAAGCAAAGAAGGATGACACGAAGAAGAAGAAAAGATGCCTGGCAAGCGCTGAGGACGATGCCACGCAGGATGCTGTGTCTGAAAAGAAGGACCAGGATTGTCTGGATGTCAGCTCCGAGGACTCGGACATGGCAAGACGACTGGACGAGGAGTTGCACCTTGCTCTGGTGAAAGCCGAGTGGGCAGAGATTGTGGCAGACTGCAAGGACTGCAGCAGACCGCCGAGTCTTGGTCTCAGTGCCCGATTGAATAGTTCTTGCTTTCTGCAGGACCCGCCGGTTGAAGCCCGGGAGATGGCCGTGCCCGCCAAGGCACATTCAGAGGAGAGTGTAAGCCGATGCCTGACAAGTCTTCTTTCCGCAGGAGACCATGTTTGGCTCCCAGACGAGGCAGGTCCTTGGATCTGAACCGGCGCCGAAAGCAACAGCGGAGGCCCCCCAGGAATCCGAGACGACGATGGCTGCAATGGAGACAGATTGGCTCGAGCCCGAATCCCCGACGGGGACTTACGACACCTTTGGATCCGAGACGATGGCGAAAGCCGCGCAGGCCCTTGCAACGAGTCACATCGTGAACGATAAGAGTCTAGAGTTTAAAAACAATTTAAAATTAAAAGTCTTTCGGCAGGAGCCAAGCGGCAGATCCGAGATCATGATTCCCGCGGCAGCAGAGGCGCCAGTCATTCTATCTGACGTGCGTTCAATTCATGGCCAGGGCTAGAGGCTACTGGTGACAATAATGCCCATCGGGCAGGCCAGTGTCCCAGACATGCTGAAGGCCTGGTGTTTTCAGCCCTGAAGAGGACATCAGTGCAGATTGCTTTCGCAGCTAAGCAATAATTATTACACAGGTGTGTGCCACGCCGCAGAACCAGAAGCATGCCTGCCCCGACGTGATTCTGGTCGAGAAGGATTGTGCACAGAACTCTGGAGACCTTGCTTTCTGTCATCAATTTGCCAACGTGATCAGGAAGCAGGCCGTGAAGAGAATGCCAGCGACAGCCTGCTCGTGCATCGGTGCGACGAGGGTCAGGATATCGAAAGTCCCGACGAGAAGACTGCGAAGCAGGAAATGCGGGGTTAGGCTCGGGCAGTCAGTTTGGGCACCGAGAGGTGTGCACGATTCCTGAGGAGACCAAATTAGCACCGACAGGTGTCAGCAGTGTCAAAACAATCTTGGCCGAAGCAAGGTCAGCACCGACAGGTGTCTAAACGGTTACATGAAACCATACGTGAACACGGACCACAACATGATAAGGAGTGAGAGTGAGAGCTGCAGCCCGGGAAGGATTTCGAAGAGAGAGAGAGAGAGAGAGAGAGAGAGAGAGAGAGAGAGAGAGAGAGAGAGAGAGAGAGACAGACTAAGAGACACAGAGTCTGAAGTTTCACATGCCCCTCTATCATTCTTCCGACAGAGCGAGTAATCCAGTTGGAAGGGTGTGTTGCGGTCGTTGCTTGTCACTGAATGTAAACCCAAGAAGCGACTGGTCAACAGGAGCTGGAGCAGCAACTGGAGGATCTGATGATGCTCGAGGAATCTCGCGAGGACGTGAAGGCCTTTTCTATAATAACGGAATGAAACGGCTGCATTCTACTTGCCCTGTAAACTACTTAATTTAAAGATGGCACTTAGCCAGGACCTCACCGAGCCCACTCTCCCGGACCCGGAGCAGACACAGACCCAGGCCAGCAGCAACGCAACGCATGAACATTACGGATACTCTTTATCTGGCCTCGTAGTTTTGAAAATCTGTGAGGCCTTGGTGTGCTTCCTGCCCAAGAATGACATGGCCCAGCAGGCATGACGGGTTCCATGAGAAGGATTTGCGATTGTGCATTATACTAAGGTCAAGGATGCACTTCCGCCGATTCCGACGCAGCTGGTCTTGGATGATGCCAAGAGCAGTCAGGATTTGGAGGACTTGGCTGTCTGCTTTTCAGTGGCAGACGGGTGATAAGCATTTTCACGAATTTGATGTTTTTTGTAATGGTATGCAAGGAGGGAGACAAGGCAACTGGGCCTCCGGAGAAGAGCGACGCAGAGGCAGCGACTCTGTCCCTGTGCTCAAGTGCTTCCTCCTCATGCACAGTGCAGGAGGTGCCACCATCACAGACCACTACCCTGGTCCTGGGTCAGTCCTCTTCCATGTCCGACTTGTCCTCCGAGGACGAGGCCAAGAAAAAAACACTATAACCAGTCAGTCAGTCTAATGACTCCAGAACACCATGTCCCGACAGGACACGAATCGGATTGCGGTGCCCAAGGCCAAGGCCACTCCCAAGGCCAATGCCAGTCCAAAAGCAAAGGCCAAGGGAAAGGCCAAAGCCAGTCCCAAGGCCAAAGGCCAAGCCAAGGCAAAGGCCAAAGCCAGTCCCAAGGCAAAGGCCAAGGGAAAGGCCCAAGCCAGTCCCAAGGCAAAGGCCAAGGCAATGGCCGAAGGCCAGCGCCGCTTCGGCTGTAGCAAGTGTCGCTCAGCGCGACACGGTTGCCGTCAGTGCCGCGGCTGGGCGCAGACGGGGTACCGCGGGTACTGGCGCTGCAGCGTGAGTGGGGCGGTGCGGCACGATCGTCTCGACGTGGTTCCTTTTTGAAAAGGGGGAAGAGCCGATCCGTGACTCTGAGAATGGTCGCCAGATTTGACACTGTGACTGGTCGTCATAAGATGACAGATGGCTTCAGAATAAAATTTTTCCAGAGATACGAGTCACGGAGACAGCGACCACTTTCGAGACGACAGTGCCAGGTATCAACTCCCGGGGACACGAAGGAGCGGCGCGATGAGAAAACCAGTCCTCTACGACAGTGTGTTCAGTCTGTGAACATGTGATTCTCCCACACAGTGCCATGTGTCTGGTTGTTGTACCTCTACATGAGGCTCAAAAGAAGTCGGTGTGACATGTGACAGATAGACCCACCCAGGCTGACATGACAGAGCACATTCAATTGAAATTGCTGTCCTCATCTGAGTGATGCTGTTGTAGAATTCTGAGAGCTATATTCCACCGACTGCAGCCGACCTCCTGTCCCGGCAAGAAAGCTCGTGGAATTTACTGCTTAAGGGGGGATGGATGGTTCGGTCGTGCCTGTGTGACTTTCCAAACAGTTGCTGGAAAGACACGATGTCAAAGGCGCCGCATCTGCTTAGCACGGCGAGGTGACTGAGCACTGTGAAGTGACAGAGCACTGCGAAGTGATTGAGCACTGCGAAGTGACGGAGCACTGCGAAGTGACCGAGCACTGCGAAGTGCGTGAGCACTGCAAATGCGAAGTGAGCGAGCACTGTGTCAGTGAGCACTGCGAAGTGCGTGAGCACTGCAAATTGAGTGTGCACTGCGAAGGGAGTGAGCACTGCAAAGTGAGCACTGCAAAGTGAGCACTGAAAAGTGAGCACTGAAAAGAGCCTTCGGCGACTGGCCTGAGGTAGGTCGCAGCACTGAGAAGTGGCCACTCCGCCCCAGGCACCCGCCGAAATCCCACCCCCACAACTCCCCTCCCTCACCCCCCCATCCCTTGTGAAGGCCGTGGCTTCTTCGTGAGGCTCCTTTGCACGGTGCCTTGGCAGAATGATAAGGGCTTATGGCTGTCTTCTTTGTGTGTCGAGGCACATAACGCAACCGGTTGCAATATGTATTTTCTCGTGGCCAAACACCCAGTCAGTCAACCAGGCATTTCAAGCGTGTCACGATCCATAGATTTGAAGTCTTCAGTGACAGTGGCCACTGCTTGTTGACTCAAACCACGGCAGGAAAGCAGGCTGCGAAGCTTAGGCTCAAGAAGATTTGGAATTATTACCCGACGCCGGTCGTTGCAATGGCTCTGTCTTCCAGCAGCGAGGGCCAGCAGCCGCAGCAGCGGAGTCCTCTGGAGCTCGCAACCCTCTTTCGGGTACAAGCAATGCTGTGGAACATGCCCAGGCCAGGTAGCCAGGACTACTCCGACTTGACGGAGTTTGATCTTGAATGTGTTCGCCACGCTGGTCTGAGTGCTCTTGAGTACTTGCAGAAGTCCGACGAGCACCTCAGAGTCCACTTGGAGGAGATTGTCGACACCCTAACCACGCTCCGTTATGGTGTTTCCTCGGGCGGGGATATCGAGTACATAAGGACAGCAATGGTGCCGACCCAAAAGAACCTGCCGAAGCACTACCCTGTCTATATGCAGGAGCAGACACAGTATGCCTTGCTGATGCTCGAGAAGCATGACAAGCTCCTGAAGCAAGGCATGACACGCGAGCAGGAAAACTCTGTAGTCTTCTTTACGCAGTGCCTGCAACGTCTGCTGCAAAAAGCACAGACAAAAATGACAAGGCGCAGGTGAATGCTGCAGCTGCCGTGTCTCTTCTGGACTGAGAGCGCTGATCCGCTGAGTTCGAAAATGGAGCCGCCAGCCCGCTTATGAAAGTGACGTGACATCATGGCTTTAGACTTTAACTATTATTTTAAATTGGCCGACCTTTAACAGGACCCGGGCACATGCTGGAAGATTTTGGCTCGCCTGCTACCAGCCCCCGTGCTCTCGAGGCATGCCGCTGCCACCAGCACATGCCAGCATGGGGTTTCTGACCCGGTGGAGCATCGCTCTGTCCCGTGAGGACAAGTGGTGGGTGCTGCGCTTTCTGCGCCGACGCCTCATGGCGCACTACCGGAGCATTAGCTCTGTGCGTCTGGAGGGGCTTCTGCGGGTGGCGTATCAGGTGAGGGCCCGTGATGATCAACAGCAACTTGCACTCACGCACATGGCAAGGTTTTAGGGCTTCCGCTTTACATGTACATTTTTTCTATAAATAAATGATTCTGATCTGTCCTTGTGCTTCATCACCACCCCAACCGAGGTTCCGACTTCTGCACCTCCTCTACCACCACAGCGAGTTCACTCAGCCTGGGGCAAAGAATATGCTGGTGGCAACGCGTCTTTGCGCTCCGGAATGGACACAGCTGCGAAGCTTGGAGAAAGTGCCCGCTGTCTTAGAAGCAGCGACATGTCTGCCTCAGAATGATATTACTGTTTCAAGGCTAAGGGTTTAGGGTTTTTAGGGTTTAGGGTTTAGGGTTTAGGGTTTAGGGTTTAGGGTTTAGGGTTTAGGGTTTAGGGTTTAGGGGATTATAGTAGTGCTGGGTAGTACAAGAGTTCTTTTTTCCCATGTCGTGTCCATTGAGGCCCTGATGATAGCAGTCGGTGACGACTTCTTCTCCGACTTGCTGGTTCATCTGGACTACTTTCTCTACGTCCTGAATCTCCTGTCTTGTGCCTTGTCTATGAGCAAGAAGACTTGTCGGAAGCCTGGAGACTTTTTTTCCACCCCAAAACCCATTCAAGTCTGAACTATTAAAACTCTAAACCCTTGTCAGACCTGGTGCACCTGCAGCACCGCACGGTCTACGACATGGACGATGTGCTCGGAGCAATCGACGCTGAGCTCGGGAAGCTGGGCGGCGTGTAGGGACGGCTTCCCCACTTTTAATTAAATACCAGACATCAGATTAAATCTGATGGAATCGCGTGCTGCGCCGTGCATGCAAGAACTTGCATGGGCAATCCCTGGACCACCAGGCCTGAACTGTTTACGCAGCTGCAAAAAGAATCAGCGCGGCTTCCTGCGGACGACCTCTGTTTTGAAGTGTCACGATGTATGACTCTGCTAAATGCCCTGGACCCCCAAACCCGTCAAACTGAGTTTTGGCCCTTGCTGAGGTTTTGACACCCGCCACCTTCGGCCTCGCTTCCGGCCTGAAGTTGTTCAACACGCCTGATGAGGCTGTGCGAGTTTCTTGGCTTTCATGTCATTTATTATTATTTTAAATGTAATTTGAAAGTAAAGCCATGATTAATTCATTTGTGCCCCAATTGATATTCACAATTTCTTGGCCGTCCGGCGCCGACGAAAACCCCGGCGGAGGTGGTGGATCGTACCTGCATGCAAAGGTGCAGCGCTTCATGGATGATGCCAAATGGGTAATTCTACAAATTCAAAACAACAGCAACTTGCACTCACGCACATGGCAATGTTTTAGGGCTTCCGCTTTACATGTACATTTTTATTTCTGAGTCTCTAAATAAATGATCTGTCCTTGTGCTTCATCACCACCCCAACCGAGGTTCCGGCTTCTGCACCACAGCGAGTTCACTCAGCCTGGGGCGGGCAAAGAATATGCTGGTAGCAGTGCGTCTTTCGGGATGGACTCACTTGAGAAGCTTGGAGACAGTGCCTGCTGTCTTAGAAGCAGCGACATGTCTGCCAGAAGGATATTTCAAGTTTCAAGGCTAAGGGTTTAGGGTTAAGGGTTAAGGGTTTAGGGTTTAGGGTTTAAAGGATTTAGGGTTTAGGGGTTAGGGTTTAGGGGATAGTAGTGCTGGGTACTCACAAGAGTTCTTTTTCCCATGTCGTGTCCATTGAGGCCCTGATGATAACGGTGACGACTTCTTCTCCGACTTGCACTGGTTCATCTGGACAAATTTCAATCTACGTCCTGAATCTCCTGTCTTGTGCCTTGTCTATGAGAAAGAAGACTTGTCGGAAGCCTGGAGACTTTTTTTTCCACCCCAAAACCCATTCAAGTCTGAACTATTAAAACTCTAAACCCTTGTCAGACCTGGTGCGCCTGCAGCACCGCACGGTCTACGACATGGACGATGTGCTCTACTGCTGGTACCTTCAGCTGTGATCTTCGCGCGCTTGGCTGCTTCGAGGTTCTCCATGATGCGCCTCTTCCTGCAAATGCCCCCGCAGCTTAAACTGCCTGAAAGCGAACTTCAAGACGAAATGGAAGAAATCGCTGGCCATTGCATCCTGCATTGTCAGGCCAGGCTCCGTCTGCACTGGCTTCGCGCAGACCGACGCCTGCACGATCTGGGCCGTGGACCCGCATGCCACGGCTGGTGATGGGAATACAGATTCCCGGCGCACGCTCAGGTCGGGATGCGACATGTGACAGAATTGTCCTTTAACTTAATTTACTTTCAGGACCGTTATTAGATGAACCCTGCACGTTAAGAGAAGCATGTCTCATTAAACGGATGGACATCAATCAGACAAGCGTCTCATCGAAGCTGAGCGCTTGCCCCGACTGCAGACTGATAAATGTCGACTTATTTGTCTGCTGTGAGTGTGTGTGTGTGTGTTAATTGCTCCATGTTGGATATTGGCCACGAGGTGCTGCGAGAAATGTGCCGCTGATGGCATTGCCAGGTTGCCAGGGGGCACCCAAAGGCAAGCTGTGGTCGGCTTGTCGTTGGGGTGGAGACTGACAGTGACAAGAATTCGCCTGTTTGCCGAGAGCCATTTTGCGTTCGAGGCAACGTTGGGAGTTCGGGTTCGGTGGGGGGCACTGTGCAGATGAACCCTTCATAATAATATTTAATAATATGCTGGGCCTGCCTTCTTGCAAGCCCGTGCAAACGTGATCTCGACCTAGTAGACTCAATTAGTTCTTAATTATTATAGGCGATGCCGTCGTAAGTGGAGAAATTCCGACGTGACCCTCAAGAATGATAGTTATAGGTCTTGTTTCTGCTCGACTGTCACTATGACTTTCTGTCAGCCACGATCCAAGCGAGTCATTGAAAGTGTGTGTCACAGACACTGCTAGGTAGCAATAATTACATTCCATCGCATCTGATTCTGTGCAAGGCAGGTGCCCACCGCTGCGCGGACCACTGCTGCAGGAGGCCGACTGGGAAGACCACGCTGTGTCTTGGAACCCTCTGCGTAGTGGATTTCTCTGCCTGCATAGTGGATTGGGTGTACTTGCTGCTCAGTGATCAATGTCCCCAGCCTTGAAACTTGGCATCGCCCGACGACCGTCCCACTCATGGTGCTGCTCGTTGTGCGGCAGCTTCTGCTCCTTTGGCAAACGCTGCAGCAGTTGCTGCTCCAAAGACCTCCTGCTCCTGCAGCAGAGTCGGACCCAGGCCCCTCGCGCAACGCAGCTGAAAGACGAGAATCTTCGCCTGCACCCTGTCCATCGACTCCGTCGTTCTTGCGCTCCAGCTCCGACATTGACCTAGCCGAAGGCGGCGAATCTGAGGATGATGCTGCTGCCAGCGATGCACTCATGGAGCTAGAAGAACGTCTTTTCGGGACGGCCGCCAAGAAGCAAGTCTGCAGCACTTAGTGCTCTACTCTGATTCTGGTTACTGATCCGTAATAGAAAAAAGAGTCGTGAGCAAGTTTTGTGCGAGGCCTCTGGGTCAGACCCAAGTCAAGTAAGGCCCACGCAGGATGCAGCTGAAAGACGAGATCCTTCGCCTGCACCATGTCCATCGACTCCATCGTTCTTGCGCTCCAGCTCCGACATCGACCTGGCCGAAGGCGGCGAATCTCAGGATTACGTTGCTGCCAGAGATGCACGACTTGCGGACCCGGAGATGGACGAACTACTTTTCGGATCGCCAGAAAGAAAATCCAGGTCCAGGTCAGGGTCGCGGACAAGGTGACCCGGCCAGCAAGTCTGCAGCACTTAGTGCTCTACTCTGATTCTGGTTCTGATCCTGATAAAAGAAAAGTCCCGAGCAAGTTTGCTGCGAGGCCTCTGGGTCAGACCCAAGTCCAGTAAGGCCCACGCAGGATGCAGCTGAAAGACGAGATCCTTCGCCTGCACCATGTCCATCGACTCCATCGTTCTCGAGCTCCGACATCGACCTGGCCGAGGGCGAATCTGAGGATGACCCTCCTGCCAGCGATGCACTTGTGGAGCTAGAAGAACGAATTTTCGGACCGCCAGAAGGAAAAAGATCCAGGTCCAGGTCTAGGTCGCGGACGAGGTGACCCGGCCGCCAAGAAGCAAGTCTGCAGCACATTAATTCTGATCCCGATCAATCAAATTTGGCCACCTGTGTGGCCTTGAGCTGACAGTTCACTGTCGTTTCACTGCGACTGTGAGTGCAGCGCAAATGGCACTACCTGCCAACGACAGCAACGCTAAAAGGATGCCACTGGTAGCACTCAGTCTGCTAACAGACTGCGAGCCTGTTTCGTTTCGGGGTTGACTGTTTAATCTGTTCTGTCTTCGAGACAGTGAGATGCATAAATACAAAACGTCATGCGAGGCCACCAAACTTGGCAGCAAACGACGTCGAGAGCCACGGCTGACAAGAAGGCACGGGTTCGACTCTACTGCCGTGCTGTATTAAGTAAGTGTTGGCAGCCATTATTATGTGGACGGGTTTTCCCGCGACACTCAGCACCGAAGCATGGTTGACAAGCGGATCAAACTCGCCATACCTATCACCACATGTCATGTTCACCACAGGGATCTTGAATATCCTCAAGCCTCACTTGTAAGTGTCTGGTGCTAGTCTGTTGGTGCATGGCTGCTTTACTCCGACCCTGGCTTGCTGGATTGCTGGATGTCCGCCAAGAAGCGCCCGGTCGAGGCATGAACGGCCGGCGTCCGAAACCCCAATCCCAACAGCCCATTGATCATCTAAGTCCCCCATTTCCCTGAGGAAGATGAGCCAAAGAAAATCGACCCCTACTCCTTCGATGCTGTCGCTGACACACGTTTCTTCAAGTACTTCGACGTAAAAGCGCCAAAAAGGAGACCCAGACCTGCCGTGTCTTGGTCCTGTTCAGTGGTGCATTACATTCTGTGAGATTGTGTGAGTGCTGAATTTTGTCAACACCCCAAACCGACCTTCTACCATTCGTGCTGCAGGGGGCAAGAGAGCCGGAGAAGCCGCCTGCAGTTCCAATGGCAGCAGTGCCAGAGCGGCCGCCTGGGCCTGCAGTTCCAATGGCGGCGGTGCCAGAGCAGCCGCCTGGGTCTGCCCCTGCACCGCCGCCAATGCAGCCGGTCCCTCACGCCGGTCCTCCGCCTCGTCGCAAAACTCCAAAGCCACCGAGTTATCCACCCCCGAACCATCTGCTCATGCTGTCAAGCAAGTGCGGCGCTACATGGTCTGTTGGTCATGGCAAAGGTGCCAGGACCCGTGACGGGTTCACACGAAACTCTGTTTCATGGCGGCCGATGCACTGACTGACTGTTGCCCCTCGAGGATCGTGGTTGGACCGCGCTTCTATTCCGATCCGTCCCCCGAAGCGATGCCGCTGTCAGCACCCTCTACAGCACACGGTTCAGGGTCGAGATTTCTTTCCGAGGCAAGTCGGTGGTATTAATTACTAGTCAGTTCTTTCTTGTGTGAGACTTAATTCCCAGAGGCAGACGAGCTGGAGAAGAGATTTTGGAAAATGGAGCCTGGCGAGGACATCTTGAAGGAGATAGATGCCATTCGCTGCAGGGGAAGTCGCACTAGTCAATGGTGGTGGAAACTGATTTAATGCTGTGAAGCTGAAGCGCTTGCAAACAAAAAGTGCGAATGCCCTTATATGACTTCTGCTTGACGTAATTTCTTGCCAGTTCTTGCCTGGCACTGAAAAATAAGCCTTCTGCCTTTTGCCTCGCCTTGCAGGCTGCCGTCGCTGGTGGCCGAG